CAAAAAAAAAAAAAAAAAAAAAAAGGTGAAGGGCTTTAGTTTGCTGAATGAATGTGATGACCCCTGGCAGGAGCAAGCTTCTAGGTGAAAGGGAGCAATTTCAGCGTATTCCCAACAGTTCCACCAACTCACTTCTTTTATTAAGAATACAATACTCAAGCTTTTTTTTTTAATACCAGGGTTTGAACTCAGGACCTTGTGCTTGTGAGGCACTGAGCTAAATCCCCCCACTGCAAGCTTTTTGAAGTCAGTCCAAAACTAAACATTTTTAAGTGGGAGTGTCATAGTCTAAGAATGTCAGTATTGATGTTATCTCTCTAAAGTACAGATGATTAGTAATTCTTCATATTTGGAAGAAGTGCAAACATTTTTGGATCTTGAGCTGGGTTTCTTCTAAAATGATCATAGCTCTTCCTGGGTTATTTATTTGTCTACATAGTATTAGAGCAAACATTAGTGGACCCCATTTTATTGTGATTTACTTTTTAATTTTTATGTATTTTTTGGTAATGGGGATTGAATTCACAACCTTGTGCTTGTGAGGCAGGCGGCAGAGCCACTGAGCTAAATCCCCAGCTTATTATGATTTATTATCACAACTACTTTTAACAAATTACTACTAGGACAAATTGTGTCTGGGAAAACAGGCTATTAAGAGCATGATCTTGTGTGCATGTGTTAGGTCTTAAATACACCTATCTTTTGGAGTGGCTGTGAAGATAAAATTAATTCACATACAGCACTTAGAACTATGCTCAGCACATAATAAATGCTCAGTAAACATTAGTGGTTGTTACTACTACTGCTACTAGTATTATTTCATCTGTTGCATTTATGGTGGCAGGATTGATTGCTGTAATGTGTTGTGGAGGTGCCATAGTTTGGATCTGAAATGACCCCTAAATGCCTGCGTGTTAAAGGTTTGGTTTCTAGCCTTGGACACTACTGGGAATTGGTGGAAACTTTTAGAAGTTTGAGGTGGTGGTACCTCACCTTTTAGAGTTGAGGTCACTGGGGCCATGCCCTTAAGGGAGATATAAGTACCGTACCTCCTTCCACGTCCCCCTTTTTGCTTCCTGGTTGTGAGACAAGCAACTTTGTTACCTTATTCTCTCCGCCATGATGTACTGCCTCACTACTCACCCAAAGGCATGGATCCAGCTGGTCATCGACTGGACCTTCCAAAACTGTGAGCCAAAATAAACCTTTTCATGTATTAAGTTGATTTAACTCAGGCATTTGTTACAGTAACAGAAAGCTGACTAACATAGGGTGTTTCACACAACTGTATTATTGTTCATAGTATATTATAAAGAAGGACTTTTGTTTTATGTTCAGGCTTTCTTTGATTAATGTTCTTGCCTTTGTCGTTCTACCAGTCCCATCACATGACACCCAATTCTAGCTGAACAATAGACCAAGTTGAGATTGTGTTAGTTATATCACTAAGAAGAGTATTTATCCTGGAACCTATGATCAAGTTTTAAAAGATCCAGGAATAGCCAAAAAAGTATAGTGACATTTGTATGTAATGTATATGCATTTTTTAGGAAGAAGATAATGGGAGCTTTCATTAAAGTCTAATAGAAATCTGCTATGGTTGGATGTGGTTTGTTTATCACGGGTTCCTATTTTATAGGCTTTGTCTCCAGTGTGGTGACTTTTTTTTTTTTTTTACAGTACTGGGAATTGAATCTAGGGCCTTCACAATGAGCTACATCTCAAGCCTTTTAAAATTCATTTTATTTTTACTTTGAGATACAGTTTCACTAAGTTGCTAAATTGCCTAGGCTGAGTTTGAACTTCTGGACCTCCTGTCGTAGCCTCCCAGAGTGCTGGGATTACAGGTGTGTGCCACCATGCCTAGCTTTCTGTGTTGATCTTGAGGTGGTAGAACCTTGAAGATGTGGTTAGGCCATTGAGGGGCACTGCCTTTGGAAGGGGTCGGTGTAGTTCCTGTGGAACCCTAGTTAGTTCCTGAGAAATAGGTAGAATAAGCCCAGCCCCTCAGTCTCACTGTAGCTTCCTTTCTGGCCATGGAATCTCTGTACAGTCGCTCCTGCCTTTGTGATGCTGTCTGCCATGAGGCCCTAAGTAGTTGAGCAGATGCCATGTTCTTGCACCTTCAAAAACTCTTAGCTAAATAAACCTTTCATTTCAGAGTACCTGGCCTCAGATATTTAGCTTTAGCAGTGGAAAATGGACTAATATGGGGACATACTAAAATGAGTTTTAAGTCAGTACTCTCAGGTGCTCCTTTTGGCTTCTTTGCTTTTTCTCCTGGTCTACAGATTATGAGTTTAACTAGATGCTTTAATTTACTGAGTGAAGTTTAATTAATGGGTTAAATTAGTGGATCCCAGTCACTCTTAGGTGTATGGAGGACAATGAGTTTTTACATTTGCCAAGTGCATAACTAGAACTTTTATATATGTAAAAACTCAGTGTCACTCATTCCTCTAAGTCTAGTGAGGAAGACAAATGGCTAAGCAATTTGCATCCAGTGTAATAAGTACTTTGGATACCTTTTGCCCTCCCTTTATCATGCTTCCTGTGTGGTAGCTGTTGGGTAATAGTTGCTGTCTGCCCTCCGCTAATCCCCATCTGCTGTGTGACCAGAAGCATCTCTTTAGAGTGTTTAGATGTCTCAGATCCCAGGGCCTCTTCAGCTGCAGGTTAGCTTTCCTTTTCCTTTTTTTTTTTTTTCAGCAGAATCTTGCTGTGCAGTTCAGGCTAGGCTTGAACTCACTATATAGCCAGTGCTGGCCTTGAACTCTCAGTGATCCACGTGCCACATCCTCCCAAGTGCTGGGATTACAGGCCTGCGCCACCATGCTCCACAAGCTGTTTAGCTTTCTATTGTATAATAAACTTCATGGAAAAATATGTGTAACCTTACCATTTTCATGGCTCTTATTATAACTGATGCTCTCTATATAAATTAACATGAAGTTGCATTGTTTACTAAATTGCATCTTTATAAGTTCTCATTTATGAAGTTGATAAATTTTAGAGCTCTCAGACAAAAACCCCCTCAAAATCCCACAACCCTATAATTTATATGCAGTGAATAATTCCTCTATATGTAGATCTGTAACACATCTTGACATATCTTAGAATTGTAACTTTTGTCTTTCTTGATCAGATACCTCCTGTCATAAGTCTGATTTTAAGTAGTGTTTTAGTCAGGCACACAATACCTGGACCCTGTAAGAAGGCTTGTGGTTTTGGGGTTGTAGTCCGTCGTGGGCTGGCTTCAGGGCAGAAATGGTTGGCGGAGGGCAAGGTGGAGGAAAGCTGCTCACCTGCTGGCTGCTAGGAAGCAGAGAGAGCAGGCAGGAGCTGGGGAGGCACCATCCAAGGGCAAACCCCAGGGACACAACTCTTCCAGCCAGGCCCCACCTCCTAACAACACTTCAGCTGTGAGCTCACCTGTGGATCAGTCTGCTGATGAGTATCAGTGCTGTATGATCCGACTACCTACTGAAGAAAAAAACAGGCTGGGATATAGCTCAGTGGTAGAGCACTTGCCTGGCCTGTGTGAGACCTTGGTTTCAATCCCCTGTGCCACAAAAACAAAACAACAAAAGTCCTTTAGTTCGCTATCTTCTTTTTGCTTATAAGAAACCACCACCCTGAAAACACTAGGTAATTTGTTCAAGGTCATACTCAACATAGTCTAGAGGTGGCACATGCCTGTAATCTCAAAAACTGGGAGGCTGAGGGCCGGGGATTTAGCTCAGTGGTGCCTCCACCTCCCTCGCAAGCACAAGGTCCTGAGTTTGATCCCCAGTACCAAAAAAAAAATCTACAGGACTTAGCGGGGCAGTGGAAAAGTAAGACATCAAGATGACTTTTTCAGTTTTTGTTTCAGTGGGCCTTCATTATATGGAATTCTTGTATCACACACCTGTTCTCTTCATTGGTATAAGCCACAGAGCTCTCGTTCTTAGTGTGTCCTATACAGGCTATGGGGTTAGCATTGCTTAAACACATCTGATGTCCTAAGAAAATTGCTGTTTTAATTTGGAGAGATGCATTCATGGCATAGTGGTAGTGGTAGTGCAAGAATACACTGCCACTATAAGCAAAGGAGAAGATCTTAAATCTGTTGTCTCCTTTTTTTTTTTCTTTTAGGGATAGACAGGAAGCAGATAGACAGGAAGTGTTAGAACATAAACTCTTAGCTTCTTGGGATAATGGGCATCTATAACTTAAGATTTTGAATTCCAGTTTACTGTAATACTTTTTCATTGACCACATAATATAGTCATCTTTCATCTGACTAAAAACCAGATATTTTGAGTATTGCAAATATCCCTGCCTCTAGCATTCTAGGATTTTAAAAAAATGCAAAAGGTAAAATTCTTTTGCTATTTGAAAGCATATTTTAAGAAAGGCATAACTGAAGTTACTGCCTGGTACCAGAACCAGTGTCTTGGAAATTTTCGTGGAAATTCTAATCTAAAGAAGCAGATTGCTTACCTTGGGGTTTTCTTGCAGCTAGTCCTCCTCGATTTGTAACAGTAGAAGAACTTCTGGAGACAGCAAAAGGAGTCACCAACATGGCTCTAGCCCATGAAATTGTGGTAAATGGAGACTTTAGGATTAAGCCAGTCGAACTACCAGAGGACAGGTAAGGTGGTCAGTGAGTTGTCTTGTTTAGCAGAATGCTGGCGTTTCCTGGTCCTGGAAATGTTTCTTTCAGCTGATGCCAATCGAGTGCATTTTTCCTTTGTACTGTATTACTAAAAAATTCCCATACTAGGAATTACTAGAGTTTGAAAGTGGATCTCAAGGCCTCTGACCCTTCAAAATGCAGATAAAGGGTCTGAAAATCTGGAAAATCTTTGATGTAAACTTCTCCCTACTTCGTAGGATTTAGCTGCCTCATCTGTTACCTTGGTTCATTCGTTTCTTGGTAACCATCCCATTGTAGTGTAGCCCTTGGTTGACTTGCATGTTTCTCTAGAATACATGAATACAAAGGCTGTGATTTATTCTCAGTATCCCTAGTATCATTTCTTAAATTAAAAACCCTATTGATTGTGAGGTGTGCCTTTCCATGTCATTGTAAAAATGCCACTGATTTTAAGAAAGATCTCTATTTTAAGGATGTTAAAATGTGAAAAAGAATGTTTTGGTATCAAGGAAATACAGATGTAGCTGCCGTTATTTCAGCAGTTCATTGATGTCAGGACTCAGGATTGATCTCTGTCGCTCTCCTGATCTGTTCCTAATGGTTGCAGAATGGGTGCTGCAGCTCCCAAGCATCTACCATATGCCTGCGTTCTAAGCAAAAGGGAAAACATTGGGTAGAACAGAGCTCTCTTTTTGTTAGGAAGGAGCATCTTTCTCTGGAGTCATGAAGCAGACTTTCTCTAGTGTTTTGCTAATGAGATTTGGTCACATGCTATGGGAATGGAATTGACATGATGGTCTTATTAGATCAGTCATAATTGATTTTCATAGGCAACTGTGCTCCCCTGTAAAACACTGACATTCTGTTAATAAAGGAGAAATGGCTATTAGGTTGGCAAGCTCTAGTGTCTCCAATGGGAGGCATCTACATTGTTTTTTGTTGTTGTTGTTGTTGTTTTGTGATTATTTTTGAGACAGGATGGCCTTGAACTTACCATGTAGATGAGGCTGGCCTCAAACTCGAGGCAGTCTTCCTGCCTCAGCCTCCTGAGTTCTGGGATTATACATATGCACCACCATGCCCAGCAAGCATATGGTTTTACATATATTACTTATATATCTGCAAAGAGAGTACCTTCCCAGTGAAGAACTGTGCTGGTGATGTACCTCAGTTGCAGACTGTGCTTAACAGTAGAGTGTATGCTTAGCATATGCAAGGCCCTAGCTTCTCCGAAACAAAATGAGAAGTACTTGTTCTTAGGACATGAAAGCTGGTTTTAGAGAGAGGAGGGGCCCTGTTCTGTGCCTCTGCTTTTTCTTTTTTTTTTTTTTTTTTTTTTTTTTTTGGTATGGGGGATCGAACTCAGGACCTTGTGCTTGCAAGGCAGGGGTTGGAACCACTGAGCTACATCCCTGGCCGAAAGCTGGTTTTAATGAGACACTATAAGTAGTTACAATTTGGTACTTAGTTAAGCAGTTGTCCCATATATCATATGGGAATAGGATATTTTAGGGACCAAAGTTCTTTGTTACATGCTGAACTATACTACTTAATTGTGCATATTTTAGGAAACTTGCAGATAACAGGAGTAAAATTTAGCAGACCTGTATTTTCCAATAGTCTTTTTTATCATATGCCACTGTTACATGCTATTAATTGGACTAATGTTGGCCACTACAATTAGTTGAAAGTTATTGTTTCTAATAAGGTACTTATTGAAAAAAATAGCTAACTTAAAATAAAGTATGTATTAGTTTAAATATGTCTGGGAAATCTTTTCTTGATTCTTATCGTTTTTAAGATTTATTACCCCAACCAATAGGATCTGTGTTCTTAAAAATTGATTTGAGACTTTTTTTGCCCCTACCCCCATTTCTCTAGCTTGGAGAAGAGAGTCAAGGAGATTGTACATAAAGCTTTTTGGGATTGTCTGAGTGTCCAGCTAAGTGAAAACCCCCCGACGTATGACCATGCCATCAAACTTGTGGGAGAGATCAAGGAGGTGAGCCAAGTGTATTGTGGAGTATTTATCCAGCTTTGCAGTATTACTGCTCCGGAGAGAGCATTTAAAAGAAATGGAAGAATGAAGAAGCCAAGTTACTTGCAGAAATATGGATTATTTTTGTCTTAAAAACAACAAAAAATATTTTATGAAACAGGTTATTTACAAAATATTAATAGGTATGGATATATTCTATTTATATTGGCTAAAAAGTGATTCGGTCTTTGGGATAGAGGAGGTTTTGGGTGGTAGGAATTTTTTTTTTGTGATACCTTTAGCCATAGTTAGTCTTAAAGAAGAAATATATCTGTGGAAATTGGAACCAATAGTTGCCTCATAGATTCACATTAATAAATTTGTTCTTCTTTTCCCATTATCAACATTTGTTTTTTTGTATGGAGGTGATTGGTACCTAGAGTTTAAATAGAAACTTTAGCAGCTATGCTAAATGAACCTGTGATGGGCCGGGGATTTAGCTCAGTGGTTCCATTGCCTGCCTCGCAAGGGCAAGGTCCCAAGTTTGATCCCCAGTACCAGAAATAAATAAATAAATAAATAAATAAACCCGTGAGGACATTTTTCTGTAGATTTGTTGAATGAGAGGTTAGAATATGTATAGCCTTTCAGTGGCAGTTGGTTAAAGGTTTATTTGTATAGTTATACATTCTTTCATGTATAATCCAAAACAATGTTTAACTAAGAAACTTTGATTAAACTTAGCTGTGCTCTCTTGTAGACACTTTTATCTTTCTTGCTGCCTGGTCACACTAGACTGAGAAACCAGATAACAGAAGTCTTGGATCTGGATCTAATAAAGCAGGAAGCAGAAAATGGAGCCCTAGACATTTCTAGGCTGGCCGAATTCATTATTGGCATGATGGGGACACTGTGTGCACCTGCTCGAGATGAGGAAGTTAAGAAACTAAAGGACATTAAGGAAATAGTGCCCCTTTTCAGGTATGGAAGTGTGTTGATTGAACTCAGTGCACCTAAATGCAAAACCTGTTTCAGATTTAAACTTCCTGAAGTCTAAGTGGTTAGGTATTAAAAAAAAATTTTAAGCAAACATCTACAATACTGAAAATTAGGAGAATGGAGGAAATTACCCATAATTTTACCATATAAAAGCTACCATCACTGTTTTCATTTTATATATATACATACACACACACACACACACACACACACACACACATACATATATATTTAAAAATTCTAAGTCAGCATGTATCTTCCATGTAGATCGACCAGTGTTTTCACATTTTTTCACAGTTGCTTTATCGTTTTATACACATATACATGAATGTACCTTTCCCCCCAACTGTCTGAGGCTTATTGACAGACTGTGACATTTTACCCTCAAATATTTCAAGAACTACCTCCTAATAATGTGGACATTCTTTCATTCACAATATAGCCAAAATGTTAAAGAAATCTAATATTAATATAATCCTGTTAACATGTGTATTAACATATACTCCATATTAACTTTATTTCTGGTGGTGCCAGGGATTGAGCCTAGGGCCTTGTGCATGCTAGGCAAGTGCTCTACCACTGAGCTATGCCTCCAGCCCCCTGAATATTTAATTTTAAATATATGGTGTGATAAAGTTCTTGTCATTTTTATACTAACTAATGGAATGACATGATGCTACTTGAAGATTATATTTTATTGATTTTTTAAAGACATGGTCTCACTACATAGTTCAGGCTGGCCTTGAACTCACTGTGTAGCCTAGACTGGCCTGGAACTTGCAGCATTCCTCCTGTGTCAGCCTCCCAGCTGCTGGGCTACAGCAGTGCACCACCATGCCCAGTAAAAGGAGTTGACTTTTGGTTAACTGCTTAGCTTAGTTTTCTTGTAAACACGTAAAGATATTATCTGTCAAAATGATTGTAGGCCATGTTGTCTACAAGGAAAGTGACCTCTGAGTCATACATGGCATTTGGACTGAAAGAAAGAATGCACTATAAATAAGGGATAGGCCCCAAACTTTGGGGTGACTTTTATGACGGCATGGCCCTCAGGGAGCCCCTCAAAGCCATGCTGTAGAGTATGAAGCTGTAGAGATTATGAAGCATACTGGCTCCCGTGGGACCTAAGGCTTTTAAGCCGGGTGGCTATACTTGGACGTGGCTGTCCCTGTGTCTTGGTGGTCTGCTCCTGGCTGTAACTGGAGTTTTGCTCAGAAGATGTTTGGTGTCACCCTGCGGGCAGGCCATGTGACAAATGATGTTTCCACGTTCGGGAGTCTGGATGTGCAGTTAAACCTGAGGAGACTCCCGGGTGGGCAATACGGGTCTGACTTTTTCTGTTCTAATCATTTATTTTTTATTGCAAGCTTTATGGATATAATAATATTCTGACGTGGAGCTGTAAGAAACTTAGTACACTTTAGCAGTTTCCCCTAATGGTAATGTTTTACAAAGCTGCAGTATAGTATTGCCGCCAGGATACTGCCACTGGTACAGTCTGCTGGTTGAGGTAGATTTGCTGTTTTACGTGTACTTGTTTGTATATCTATCTGTGTGAACTTTTATACAGGTTTATCATCAGTGTAAGTTCGCGTGTCCCCTCCTACATTTAAGATACTGAACAGTTTCAGCATCACAAGATGTCCTTCATAATCATTTTTTAAACTATCCATAAGCATTTTCAGTGGCTGCAAAATATTTATTTGCATAGACAGAATCAATTTCTCCCTTAGGAAGGACAATTAAATTGTGTATAATTGTGAGCTGCTTAACCATGCAGTGAATTCTTTGTGCACAAAACTTTTTCTGTATTTTAGGTTATTTCCTAAAGATCAATTCTTTTTTCTTTTTGGTACTGGGGGTGGAACCCAGGAGTACTCCACTACTGAGCTACATCCCAGCCCTTTTCATTTACTTATTTTTTATTTTGAGACATGGTCTTGATAAATTGCTCATGTAGGACTCGAGCTTGCCAGCCTCTCACCTCAGCCTCCCTCAGTGCTACCACAGCAGGCTCCAAACATGATTTTTATGTGTGTATGTGGTACTGGGGCTTGAGGCCAGGGCCTTCACTCTGAGCTATGTCCCCACCCTGTTTTTATGTTTTATTTTGAGTAGGGCCTCTCTAAGTGCTAATTTGCCTAGGCTGGGCTCAAACTTGTGATCCTTCTGCCTCAGCCTCCCGCAGTGCTGGTACACATGTTCACCACCACTTGTGACTGATTCTTGGAATGGGATTACAGTGTTAGGGTCTCAGCAGTTTTCGGACTTCATTGCATATTACTACCAAGTTGTTTTTCAAAAATTTTATGAGGAAAGAATTTATTTCTAGCTTTTTTGATATTTTAAAAGAGAAAAGATAGCATATTCTCTCATTTCTACAGTACATAGCAAAATGTTCTTGCCAGGTAAGGTGGCGTACATCAGTAACCCCAGCACTCTCAGAGGCTGAGGCAGGAGAATAACAAGTTACAGCCTAGCCAATTTACCAACCTAATGAGACCCTGTCTTAAACTACAGAATTTTAAAAAGGACTAGGATGTAGCTTTTTTTTTTTTTTTAATCGGGGATTGAACTCGGGTCCTTGCGCTTGCGAGGCAGGCCACCGATCCGCTGAGCTAAATCCCTGGCCCTAAAAATGATTTTTCTTTCTTTCTATGTTTTTTTTTTTTTTGGTACTGGGGATTGAACTCTGGACCTTGCATTTGTGAGGCATGCAGCGGAACCACTGAGCTAAATCCCCAGCCCCTAGGATGTAGCTTAATGCAAAGGTTGGTGTGTTCCTCAGTACTAGGGGACAGGGGAAGAAGCCCTGCATTATAAATTTACTTAAGAATTTAGAAGTAGAATTGAAAAGACCATCTAAAAACAGTCACTGGGTTTTTTTCATTCATTTAGGAAGCTTTCATTTATCCCTCCTATGCGCTAGATGTGGTGTTGGACGTTATTAGTAAAATAGTAAGAGTTTACAATCTAGCCAAGGTAAACGGGGAATTCTTGGAAAAGTCCTTTGAGGAAATATCTTATAGCAAAGTCAGATTCCCACCATAGAGTAAAGGAACTGCGCCAGGCTTGGGAGCAGACACCTGTAATCCCAGCTACTCAGGAGGCTGAGGCAGGAAGATTGCAAGTTTCAGGTGAGCCTGGGTGGTTTAACAAAACTTAAAAAAAAAATATATACAAAGGATGGGGGATGTAGCTCCATGGTAGAGCCCTTGCCTGGCGTGTATAACGCTCTGAGTTCAGTCCCCAATGTGGCTCACCTACAAAATGACTGGGACAGCGCGTGCCCTGTCTGAGGGAGCTAGCAGTGCCTCGCAGTTCCAGCTGATTTGGGCAGTGATGAGAAGTGGGCCCAGGTTGTCTAATCTTTTGATTTTTCAAGAAAGATACAGTATGTGAACGTGAAGACCAGGGTGGCCAGCTGCCTGCCCCTTGCCTTGCCTGTGGGCTCCATCCTTGCTCTGTGGCTGCCTCGGGAGTTGGCATTTTGTTCCACGTTGCAGGAATGAGCAGGTACCTGGTGTTCTCTTTGGGCACAAGGCAATATGGGGAACTCAGGGGACAAGGGTGAGGTGAAGGGGAGGTCAGAAAGCAGCTGAAAACTGCTCCTATCATTAGGTTAATGTTTGCATTTCTGAATTGATTTTTCTTCATCTGTTTTTCTCTTAACTTTCCAGACTTTCTTGCTACCTGTCTGATATGAACAGCTCACCTGTTTTCCTGTCATGTGTGCTTAGGAGAGGCTCTTTTCTTGCAGGGCAATGTTTGCCGTGCTGGACTTAATGAAGGTGGACATGGCCAACTTTGCTGTCACTAGCATCAGACCCCACCTCATGCAGCAGTCGGTTGAGTACGAGAGGAAGAAGTTTCAAGAACTGCTGGAGAAGCAGCCAAGTATGTTTCGTGCTCTGGGGTACCTTTTGTTGGTGTGTTTTAGTTGGTGTTTTGTTTCATTTTAGTTGGTGTAGCTTGTTGCATAATGGTACTTTTTTCAAACAAAACTAAAACCATGGATCAGAATAGTCTAGTTTAGACAGGGACTGACAACAAGTTGAGACTGCATCTAAATCATTACATATTGAAAAAAACACTTCCGTGCCAAGAGCAGCGTGGGTAGGGTATGTGAGCAGGAATGAAAAGGTGAAGGCGCCCCAAATTGAACTTTTGTTTGATTGTTATAAATGAAAACACTGGTGCGAGGTAAATTATATTCTTGGTCTTGGTTTTAGAATCATGACAAATTTTATGAATGCTCATTCATTTCATTTTTCTTTTCCTGTGACAATAAGACATTTCACTTTGTTTCTGTTCTGTTTTGGGTGCTGGGAGTATTAGGGATTGAAACCAGGGCCTTCACTAAGTTGCTAATTTGCTCAGGCTGGGCTTGACCTTGTGATCTTCCTGCCTTAGCCTCCTCAGAATGCTGGGATTCCAGACATGCGCAGCCATGCCTGCTTTATTTCTGTTCTGTTTGCATAAACGTGGTTTCACTCCCAGGGCAAGTCTCATTTTTATGAACCTCTCAGGTGACTGTAGGAGAACAAGGAAACTATAGAATCTACAACTGTGTTATATTTCTAAGGTGCTGTTGTTGGTCGCTGCATTGGCAGTCAGGAAGTTCTGAGTGAACTTCAGTCTGCAGGGCCAGTTTACGATGAGTTCTCGGTAGCCCCAGCTTGCCGGCAGTAGGGTGCAGTCTGGGAACACTGCGTAGCTTGACCTGATGAGTTACCTCAGTGCCCCCACAAAGTCGGGTCGTCCGTCCCAGACCCAAGTCAGGGGCTGTTGGGGCCAGGAGGAGTCAGGAAAGGACAGAGCAGAGGAGTGAAGAGAGGACAGTGCAGCGCACATTCAGCAGCACTCTCCTGGGTAGAGGAGCCTCGGGAGCGGCGGCAGGTCCCGGAAGCAGGGTGCAGTGGAGAGCTCTGCCGAAGCGGAAGCGCAGTGCAGTCCTTGGTCGGTTGGAGTGTAAGATGTCCACCACTTGGAAGCTAAGGTTTCCAAGGCTAGTGGGCCTCGGAGAATGCCTTCTGCAGAGGCAGATGGCCCAGCAGCTGGAACGGGGACTCTGGGTCGGTGTGCTGGCAGAGAAGAAAGGCACACCGGAGAGGCGGCCATGGCCTTGGAGCCCACGTGCTTTCAAGGAGGCCTCCGCCAGCCTAGCTGCAACTCCTGTAGGACCTGGAAGGTTCGTTTTTTGCTTTTAATGCAGACAAGGTCCTCATGGTCTTTCCTCGGGATACCTGCTACACTACTCAGCTTGAGAAGCTCTCGGACGCCTGCCGGCAGATGACAGCCAGCTTAGGCTTCCCTGACTGCTTCCCATGCACTGAGTGCACATCCAGCACCAGGAGGCCCGGTCAGACCGGGTCCACAGAAGAGGCTGCACTGCGTGCCATGCTCTAGCTGGGCCTCATCCCATCAGTCTGTCCAGGAGCATCTGCTGCACAGAGCCAGAGTCATCAGCGCCTCTGGCTACCTCTCCTGCAGGGTCAGGCCAGGGACAACAGGGAAGGAAGGTTTGTGGAGCACTGTGGTGGCAGGGCCTGGCTGAGTGCTGGGTGGACCTTATAAATTCCTTTACACCAGGAAACTGATGCTCAGCTGATGACTTACCTGACACGACTCAGTGATGGGCAGGGCTGTGATTTGGACGAGTTTTATTTGATTCGGGAAGTTCATGAAGTCATTCTCTACCCTGCATCACACCACCAGGATCTTCCTCAAAGCAGTTCCGAGAAGCTGCTGCTGGGTGCCTAGTAATGTTTGCAGCTCTGTTTTACAGATTCTCTGGACTTTGTCACCCAATGGCTCGAAGAAGCCTCTGCTGACCTCATGACTCAGAGGTACAAACACACCCTGCCAGCCAAGGGGGAGGCTGCCGGCCCCGAGGGTGCCCTTGTTCCGAGCGCTGTCTGCGTCCAGAACTACGCGTACCTGAAGCTGCTGAAGTGGGACCACCTCCGCAGGCCTTTCCCCGAGGTCAGTGCCCCTGGGCCCCACTGTGCAGACTTCTCTGTGTGCTGCTGAGCTTTTCTGAAAGAATAGCATTACTCGGATGTCAGCTGCCACAGATTCTCCCATTCAAGTGTGCGGCTCAATGGTTTTTAGGATATAGGTAGATTCATGAAACCACCACCACTGCTTAATTTAGAAGATTTTTGTTACCCTGAGAAGAAATCCTATTCCCTTCAGCTGTCTTTGCCCTTGCTCTGCTCCCTCCAACCCCAGCTTCTTGCCTGCTTAGACTCTCGTCCTGGGTGTCTGATGTAAATGGATTTATACAGTATGGGCCTCTGGGTTCTTTCATGAAGCATAATGTTCATCTGTGTTGTACCATATATCAGGACTTCATTTGCCCCTAAATATGCAACCCATTTTAAGTTTTTAAGTGTACGGCAGCATTAAACAGTAATTCCCTGGTGCACTACTGTAATCCCAGCATCTGGGACTCTGAGGCAGGAGGATTGCTTTGAGTTCGAGGCCTGGGCTACATAGTGAGACCCTGTCTCGAACAACCAACAAATAATAACAACAAAACCAAACACAAACAGTAATTCCCTATTCCATGACCCTGGCAACCATAGTTCTACTTGCAGACTACAGATTTGAGCACTTTAGGTACTTTATATGAGTGGAATCATAAAAGATTCATTCTTTTGTGCCTGGCTCATTGTCCAACATGATGTCCTCAAGGTTCATACATGTTACAGTGGGTGTCACTATCTCCTTCCTGCTTGAGGCTGAATAATTTATTCCCTTGTGTGAATCAGTTGCTGGATATTTCTGTTGTTTCCACTTTGGGCTACCGTAGAGTACAAGTGTTTGAACTTTCATGTGCACCATTTTGTGTGGGTGTACATTTTCATCTCTTACCATTTGGAGGAAACACCAACTAAGAAAGCACTGCATCACTTTACAGTCCCCCGAGCGATGTATGATGCTTCCAATCTGTGCTTCTCAGGGCCCAGGATTTAGCTCAGTGGCACCACC